TATGTAGATAAATAGATATAGATATATACACATATACACACAGTATGTGCATCCTCCAACACCAGTGTACGAAGCATGTCTAACTGTTTATATCAGACTTTAAGAATTAAAATACAATATGATAAAGTATGATGAATTATGGTGATATAATAATACCAGAGAACAATATATGACACCTGGCAAAGCTTCAGATGGTTGGAGTCCAGCATTCTGTGTATTTCAGTGGAAAAGTAATTTGATAAGAGTTTCTATTTGCACATGATTCCACATTCATGCAATCTACTGGCTTCTTCAAATCAACTGGCTGAAGGAAAAAAAAAATTCTTTTTAGACTGTCATTTTTTTTTAAGTTAAAAAAACGTGTAGCAACTTTTAAAAGTGATTTTCTTCTATTGGAAAATTCTCCTTTTTGCAACATAACTGATATCATCATATCCATAAAATATGAATAACACAGCTGAATCAAGGCTCTGTGCCTGCTCAAAATTCAGTGTAAATATGTAATGCTGCATAAAAGCCAGACTGAATTATGTCCGCTCAGATGCACCTCAGCCCATGACATAAGTATATGGTTGTTAATTGCTGTGGAAAGGCATTTATGCACCTCTGATCTGCATTAAACAGTCTGTGTAAAGACACTTAATGCCCCTTCAAAATCACTTCTGTACCACGTTTACTGTATTTTACATTATGCCACCTTTACTGAATTAAGGATGCTCTGTTCCTGCTCAAAATTCTGTGTAAAGACGTAATGCTGCATAAAAGCCAGATTAAACCATGTCTGCTCAGACCCATCTCAGCCCTTAGTATTAAAGTATGCATTTGTCATTTTTGTGTAAATGCGATTTTTGTTTATGCTTATGAGCAGCATTAAAAAGTCTGTGTAAAGACACCTAAATGCCACTTCAGAAGCGCTTCTGTGCCACCTTTACAGTGTAAATCATACCTTTTTAGTCGACTAAGAGGATATGATTTACATGGCAAAGGTGGCACAGAAGCGCTTCTGAAGTGGCATTTAGGTGTCTTCACACATGCATGTAAAGTTTAATTCTTGACTTTTTGTCACCTGCGTCACTTGAGATCATCTGCGATAATCTGATAAACAGAGAATCACTATCATTCTGGACATTTAACGAGCAGGGTTAGCATGACAGATGCAGAGGAGAGACATGCTGCGTCTCTGAGAATCACGCTCAAGCAACTGAGCTAAACATGTTTCTGAGTGCCAGAAGCAATAGGTGAGACATTTATCTGGTTCCCATGGCGATGAATAATTAAAAGAGAACGGGAGTGCAATAACACTCATTGACACAGGTGCCAAATTAACCTGGCACTCATGACACTAATCTAATACATCCAAACCATCATCTGTCTCTAGCATCAGTTCCATGTCAAGACACAACATCATGCACAAGTTCAGTACCTGAACTCCAGCTACAAACCCTGTGAGAAAACACTGAGGCTAAGCTCATCTCAAACGCTATTACACGCCAAAATAGGTTTAGCACACAGTATTTGAGCACAAAAATATTTATATTACGTTAGGCAGAGGCTTATATCTAACATTGCACTGAAGCTACACATTTATTTCAGTTCATGCATTTCCTGGAAATCAAAACTATGATCTTGGTGACATTAGTATGATGCTCTACTTTTTGAGCTACAGGAAGACTAACTAGATATACATTATTTTGAGTTTTCAAAACAAAAATATAGTCTAAATCTCATATATTTTCCATGCTTAAACCATATAATATTTAAAGTATGTTATTTATTTGTTTGTTTTGTATTTATGTATTTATTATATTTTATGCATTATATTATATTTATTTAGTTATTATATATATGCATCATTATATTTGATGATAAAATTAAATGTATGAAATCTAATAAATAATAATAATAAATTTTAAATAATAAATTAATTAATTTGAATAATTTGTATATATATATATTAAATAATACATATATAAAGTTTAATGCATATTTTTTCAGATAATGTAATATAGAATTTTTGTTTGTTTTTTATCAATATTTTAATAATTTGCACAAATGTTACGAGTGACTTTAGAGTCATTAGTGTTATGATCTTTTGTTTCAAATGCAGTTTTTGATTGTAAATACTTCTTTGAAACATAAGATTAAGGTGTATCTTGAATTTTAAATGTTATATCTAAATACATGAAGAAATGGTGTACTGTTAATGCCCGGGTTTTGTATCGGTGTCGTGATGTCTTATATTAAATTGTTTGTTTGTGATGTTGACGCTGCATAAATTGCACTGTGAAGAAACAAATAAAGATATTAGTACTACTACTATGATACTTGTTTCACTTAATAAAAAATACAACTTATTAAGTGCAACCTTAACAGTTTCAGAACATCGCCACCTAGTGTTTGGAAAAGCATGCAAATTTGTTTATAAATAGAAATCCTTTGCCTACAGCCTAGGCTCTGCTTTCTTTCGATTTAATGCGTCATTAGGAATAAAATAAAATCCATCTTTCCAAGGTCGTCCATGTTGGCTGTTCGTCATGTTGATGTAAAGTTAATCTTCAGACCTTATCGGTCAACAGAGAGGCTGGACGATGCTTATGCATCAGCATATCACAATTAAAATGTAATATATGACACTGGGATGACTGGCCTTGAGGCGCATCAGAGTTTGATAAGAGTTCGGTGACAGCAGCCAAAGTTAGAAATTAATGTCAGATCTGCTCATAACCCTCGAATCATTTGGCATAACTTAAACGATTTGCCTTCAGCTTCTGGTCACATAATTGCTGCTTGCAGCTACGTTTGGATCTTACAGCTCATTTAAAGACTGATAAGAATAAAGGACCTTCACAGCTTAATTTAATGCATTTCAGCATCTTTAAACTCAGCAGAATCTCCCCCACAGAAAACATGAAAGAGGTGATGTTAGTTATTGCAAATTAGTATAAAAAAATATTTTCTGCTTCAGTATTTTTGTCTTGCACAAATAAATCAAGATACATTTACTGGAGATTCAAAAATGACATAAGAAGTCTCGTTTTCTGAAAAATGCATCAAAATGAACTGAGTTTATGCTTAAAACAAGAACAAACATCTGGCATTGGAGTCAACATGCAAAAAACAAATTCAAAGGGAAAACCAGTTTATTTTTCTGACCCAACTGGCACACATTTTTTCTTGTTTTCAGCCTAAAAACAAATTTTCAGGAGACTTCTTATGTCTCCATTAAATGTATCTTTATTTGAATGTTTAGGTATTTGTACTGAAAAACAAGACTGTAAAATAAACTTTTTTTTTGCAATGAATCATCCAGTCATTTTCTGCAAGAGCTATAATTTCTGAGCAAAGATCTCTCTCTGTTCTCAGTCTTAGACTTGGACGCTCTCTCAGCAATGGATCTGAACTTCTTCTACAGCGAGAACATCAGTATTAACCACAGCACGCTCTTCAACGACAGCAGAAACCTCACGCTCTTACCGTTCTACCAGCATTCCCTCGCCGTGGCCTCCGTCATTATGTTTATAGCATTTTATGTCAGGATCTGCTCTACTGTTATAAAGATCTCATTGATTTACATCACAAGCAGCAGAATTTTATCATATAAATATCAGCATCTGCAGCAAAGTTTGAGGCTCTGAATAAAACTGAGCTGTTTTTTCCTCCATATTCTCACTTTATCAGACTATATGAGCCAGAAAAGCCTGATGGAGCAATACTCAACAAAAAACACATGCAAACTTAGACTATTATTATAATCATGTCATAGACTATTATTATAAACATAGACTATTATTATAATCATGTCAGGCTAAAGAGTTTAAAGGTTAAAGAGTTGTCAAATAATGCAAAAAAACCAACATCTTCATACTCAACCTGGCCATCAGCGACCTGCTGGTGGGCATCTTATGCCTTCCCATCACGCTGGTGGACAATCTGATCACAGGTAAATCTGCTTCAGATGCGTTAATGTTCACTGGAGGAGGTTTCACTCACCTGGAGAGAGTTTATCCGTTAGTATGTGCATGCATCTCCATGCTGCCATCTTCATGAGGACTCACACAGCCAATCAGCTGAGCCGTTAATGTCATGTGACTCATCACTCTATTACAAAACATAAGTCTGTCTCATGAGTCTTTATAAAGCTTAGTGGATAACATTTGACATGCACGTTTATAAACGATCTACACGATCAAAACTTTGCTCTTGTTGAACACAATCTGCTCCATGCATTCTGTCGTCTGACTGATAGTTTAGAGTTTAAAGCTCTTTTAGTGTAATTGTAGAAATGTCCAGCTTCAGCTGGAGCGCTAAAGAGTTTAAAGGTTAAAGAGTTGTCAAATAATGCAAAAAAAAAATATATATATATATAAAATATCTACTATAATAAAAATAAATGTTTGCTGTTTATTTGTTGGGAACCTGTTTGAAAACTATGATTGGTGGATCTCTCTACTTCAGTCATCACTAATAAAAATAGTCTTATTTTGATGCATCTGCGTTCTAGAAATGCATTTCAGGATGAACTATTTTTTTCTAGTTTTCTCTGGTTATTGGGTCTTTGCTGTGGTTCTCAGTACATTTCAGTCGTTTATGGCTAAAGAAAAGCCGTAACAGTTATATATATATATAAAATATCTACTATAATAAAAATAAATGTTTGCTGTTTATTTGTTGGGAACCTGTTTGAAAACTATGATTGGTGGATCTCTCTACTTCAGTCATCACTAATAAAAATAGTCTTATTTTGATGCATCTGCGTTCTAGAAATGCATTTCAGGATGAACTATTTTTTTCTAGTTTTCTCTGGTTATTGGGTCTTTGCTGTGGTTCTCAGTACATTTCAGTCGTTTATGGCTAAAGAAAAGCCGTAACAGTAGAGGCAGCAGCACTTCTGCAGGATTCATGCCTTTGTGTTTCCATGCATTCATTACTGTCAGAGTCTCTGCAGCCGTTCAGCAAATATAAACATGATTTACATCGTCAAGTGTTTGTTTGCATGTTGTCAGCATCACACACTGTTGACTCAGATTAAAGCCCCTTTTGCATGTGTAAAGCAACCATATGCCAGCTGATTCTGATGACTTGGATGTTAAATACAGCTGTAGTTACTAATGAGCCATAGATCATTATAATCTAATTAATTTAGATTAATCTGTTGAACATGTAATGACATTCAACGCCATTGTTTCTGCTGTCAGCATTGCCAGACACACGCAAAGACATGCACAGTCACGTCAAATATTTCATATACATGTTCAATAATTTTGCATTCAAATTTAATTACGAGTGTAATCAGAATAGAGGATGGTTTCATATTAAATGCAGCGACAATTTAGTTTTTTCTGGTGCTGCAGGATCTTAAATGAGGAAAATTAATGTCAGTGCAAATGTTACATTTAAAAACATTTTTAAACAAATTTTAGTATTATTATTTAACAGCAGCATATAAAGCCTCAATGTGTAAACCCTTAAGTATTAATTTTTACAATAACATAAATTCAAGACTTATTCATTATATTTCAGTAATTATATTTGTTTAGAGACAAATCAATAATTATATCATAATTTTGAGTATATCTTAATTTCTACTTTTTATGTCATAAGTTCTACTTTTTATCTTATAATTATTACTTAGTATGTTATAATGTCATCATTTGTTTTTGGGGCATAATTTTGACTTTAAACATCATTTATACTTTTTATTTAATAATTGTGGTATTTTATGTAAATTTGCATAATTTTGATGTCTCAGTTTCTACTTTTTATCTTATAATTGTGACTTAGTATGTCCTAATTTCAAGTTTTTTTTTAATCATAATTATTACTTTTTGTCATAATTTTGACTTTTTAATCTTATAATTTAAATTCTTTGGCATAATTTTGATTTTCCAACCATTTTTACTTTTGTTTAATAATTGTGGTATTTTGTGTAGATTTGTTTGGGAATAATTTTGACATATGTCTTAATTTCTACTTTTTATCTTATAATTATGACTTAGTATGTCATAATTTCAAGTTTTTTTTAAATCATAATTATTACTTTTTGGCATACTTTTGACTTTTTAATCTCGTAATTTGTACGTTTTAAACAATTTTTACTTTTAATAATTGTGGTATTTTATATAATTTTTTGGGGATAATTTCGATGTTCTTATTTCTAAGAATATTATCTTAAAATTATGGCTTAGTATGTCATAATTTTGACTTTTTTTCTCATAATTATGAAATTTTTTATTGACAATTATTTTGACTTTTTATTTAATAAACATGTTTTATGTTGATTCTGTTGATAATTTCGACTTTTTATTGGCATTTATGTGATATTTTTTACTTTTTTATCCTATAATTATGAATTTTTTTTGTATAATTGTGACCTAGTATGTCATAATTTAGAGTTAAGGAAGTTACTTTTTATCTTATAATTGTGAATTAGTATGTCATAATTTTAATTTTATTATAATTATTACTTTTTGTCATAATTTTGACTTTTCCAACGATTTTTACTTTTGTTTAATAATTGTGGCATTTTATGTAGATATTTTTTTTTTTAGATAATTTCTACTTTTTATCTTATAATCATGACTTAGTATGTCATAATTTCAAGTTGTTTTTATCATAATTATTACTTTTTGGCATACTTTTGACTTTTTAGTCTCGTAATTTGTACATTTTAAACATAATTTTTACTTTTAATAATTGTGGTATTTTATGTACATTTTTGGGGATAATTTCAACTTATGTTCTTATATTTATGACTTAGTATGCCATAATTTTTTACTTTTTTTCTCATAATGACATTTTTTATTATTTTGACTTTTTAAACATTATTTAGTTTTTTTATTTAATATGTTTTATGTCAATTCTGTTGATAATTTTGACTATGTTGTATTTTTTACTTTTTTATTTTATAATTATGCATTTTTCTGTCATAATTGTGACCTAGTACATCATAATTGAGAGTTAGGGAAGTTACTGTTACCATGGAAACAAAAAAAAATCACAAATAAAGTGAATCTCCAGCCACTTTCAAACTACTTCTATTTTTATGTTATCACTCATTTTATACGGTAGCATGTTTTTATCTGATCACACCGTTCACATTAGTATCATGGGAAGAGAGGTTTATATATATACAGCGCACATGTCTTCCCCCCCCATTCAAATTTAATTACGAGTGTAATCAGAATAGAGGATGGTTTCATATTAAATGCAGCGACAATTTAGTTTTTTCTGGTGCTGCAGGATCTTAAATGAGGAAAATTAATGTCAGTGCAAATGTTACATTTAAAAACATTTTTAAACAAATTTTAGTATTATTATTTAACAGCAGCATATAAAGCCTCAATGTGTAAACCCTTAAGTATTAATTTTTACAATAACATAAATTCAAGACTTATTCATTATATTTCAGTAATTATATTTGTTTAGAGACAAATCAATAATTATATCATAATTTTGAGTATATCTTAATTTCTACTTTTTATGTCATAAGTTCTACTTTTTATCTTATAATTATTACTTAGTATGTTATAATGTCATCATTTGTTTTTGGGGCATAATTTTGACTTTAAACATCATTTATACTTTTTATTTAATAATTGTGGTATTTTATGTAAATTTGCATAATTTTGATGTCTCAGTTTCTACTTTTTATCTTATAATTGTGACTTAGTATGTCCTAATTTCAAGTTTTTTTTTAATCATAATTATTACTTTTTGTCATAATTTTGACTTTTCCAACGATTTTTACTTTTGTTTAATAATTGTGGCATTTTATGTAGATATTTTTTTTTTTAGATAATTTCTACTTTTTATCTTATAATCATGACTTAGTATGTCATAATTTCAAGTTGTTTTTATCATAATTATTACTTTTTGGCATACTTTTGACTTTTTAGTCTCGTAATTTGTACATTTTAAACATAATTTTTACTTTTAATAATTGTGGTATTTTATGTACATTTTTGGGGATAATTTCAACTTATGTTCTTATATTTATGACTTAGTATGCCATAATTTTTTACTTTTTTTCTCATAATGACATTTTTTATTATTTTGACTTTTTAAACATTATTTAGTTTTTTTATTTAATATGTTTTATGTCAATTCTGTTGATAATTTTGACTATGTTGTATTTTTTACTTTTTTATTTTATAATTATGCATTTTTCTGTCATAATTGTGACCTAGTACATCATAATTGAGAGTTAGGGAAGTTACTGTTACCATGGAAACAAAAAAAATCACAAATAAAGTGAATCTCCAGCCACTTTCAAACTACTTCTATTTTTATGTTATCACTCATTTTATACGGTAGCATGTTTTTATCTGATCACACCGTTCACATTAGTATCATGGGAAGAGAGGTTTATATATATACAGCGCACATGTCTTCCCCCCCCCCCCCCCCCCCTTCCAAA